TATATATATATATAAACTTTAATTCTGAATTTAGATTTATCATGTTCATTATATATGTTTGGTGTATGTGTCGGATTCAGTTCTTCATAACGTGAAAGTTGATTTTTAAAGTCATGGGAAGGAATTAATAGATGCAGTGTTTGACCGTGACGTTTTGGATTGAACTCGTTTATTATGTAAGTTCATTTGCTAAAGTTACAGTTCATCGTGTCTTACCTCCGACTATCTTTGTTCAATTGCAAGAAAAAGTATACCCTACTCCTGAAGCTACACGTACGTTTGATATTAAAAATTCAATTCGTAGACCCCAAGTGGTGAATTGAAGAAAATTAAAAAAAGTGGCAAGCATTTGTTAATACTCTTTGGTGAGCATGACAATACCGTTATGAATTCATTAATTACTACCTCAAATTGTCTTTTTGGTGGCTGCCAGGCAAGGGTTATTGGTGAGAAATATTTTCTCAAAGGGAAATTTTGTGTCTTCAATTGGAATTTTTCATAGCTACACTTGGAGAGGTGGTTAGCAACATAGTGATTGAATAGAGTAGCCTCTGCCATGCATATTGGAAATGGAGCCAGAGTTTGAATATAAGGGCATGACAACTGGATCCTTAGCATAAATGGGTTTTGAACATGGAGCCCAGCTAGGGCCCAGTTCGAAATGCTTTGCCAGGGTTTCAATTCTTACTGTGCAAGGCAGTGAGCAGTGGGAGATGAACAGCTCATAGACGAGTTTTTTCTTTTGGGTCTAGCTTAATTTATTTCAAAGATATAATTAATTGCTTTCTATGAATGTTAAGAGTTATTTTTAGAATGTTAGATGAGAATTTAAAGATGTTATTGTGAAAAAGTTTTTATGCTTACTGATTTCTTAACCAATATTTTTAAAACACTCGTTCTTAAATTCTATTGGAAGAAAATTAGAAAGCATTACGATGTTCATCGATACAAGGCGTTGTGTTCAACATGCTTTGGGGAATTGAGAATATGGATTCAGATGTTTTTGATTGTGGGTAGGTCTGGCTTCCAAGACCAGACAAGAGAGACATTCATATACATTTTGCATGGCATTTGGCTAGCGTTGGTGTGTCAACTTAAAGTTTTTTTATTTTTTATTTTCAAGTGTTGGAAAGTATATTTCAGCTCCCTACATTTATATATATGTTCTACACTTCAAAGACTATTGTATTTTTGGTAGAGAAAGAAAATAGAAAGAAAAGAAAAGAAAACAAACATACTAATGTATTTTTTTTTTTTTTGGTAGGTAATGTATTTTCTTTTATTTAATCAGAGAAAAAATAGAGAGAAAAGTTTATTTCAAGAAGCAAAAAGTTTATCTCTTTTTTTTTTTTCTTCTTCTCAATTTCTCTTCTAATTCAAATTAAAAATTTTTCTTTCCTTTTCTTCTCTCTTTCACTCAATCTAAATATTTTAAATTAGAGATATTAAAGCGAGTCAACTCAACTCATCTAAATTAACTCGGCATATATTGATTTCTAAATGATCAATTTAACTCAATTTACTTATGGTAAGCAAAGAAAATCTTAAACCAACTCAATCCACTATAAATTAGTGGATTAAGTGGGTTGGTTTATCATATTTTAAAAAATTAATAATAAAAATTATTACATGTTCCTATTATCATAAAATCAAGTCAATTATTGATTCAAATACAAAATAATATAAAAGAAAATATCAATTAAAATTTTAAATGATAATTATATAAAACATAAACATAATTTTATTTATATATATTTTAATTGTAGTAGATTAAATAGGTCGATCTGATTCATTAAACCTATACATATTTATTTAAGTGAGTTAGTTGGAATTTAGTTAAAATTGTTACACATTTATTTTTCTAATCTAGTCCAATCCAAATCCATATGAATTAAGTTAATCGAGTGAGTTGTGACTCACTTTGTCACTTCTATTCCAAATATAACATACATTTAAAATCAAAGTAGAAAAGACTAAGAAATACTAAAATATTAAGAAATATATAATAGCTTCTTTGGATAAACTTATTAATAAACACCTATAACTTATAAGAGAAAAAAAAAAACAAAAACAAATATTTTTTATAACTAAAAGTTAATTTATACGTAAAATAAAAAATATATTTTTGTAAAGAAGTTTATCTTGTCCTTTTTATAAGAAAAAATAATGTGTTTTATATAAAAAGGACCGAAAGGATTTATACTATCACTTTTTTTTTTAAATAAAAAGGATCATATGAAATATAAGATAATTTCTACAATATATATATATATATAAAATATAATATAATATAATATAATATAATACTTATAAGGGAGAAAAATAAA